GAGAACTGGTGGGCAACGATAGCTAGTGAAATGGAAGTAGCGGCTGCATCAGGGAATAGTCAGAGACTGTTTCACCTGATACGCAATATGGGAGGTCGGCGAACCACTGTTAGTGAAACAATCAGCGACAAAAGTGGGCAAGCTATTCACAATAGGGAACAACGGCTTGACCGGTGGGAGGAGCACTTCAAAGAACAGTTCAGCTGGCCAGGCGCTAACCAGGCTATCTCCTCCGACGTACCTGAGACTCCATGGGCAGTGTCATCTGAACCTCCTACTGTAGGAGAAGTTCGTTCTTGCATCCAAGCCCCGAAGAAAGGAAAAGCAGCAGGGCCAGACGGGCTTCCTCCCACTGTTTTCAAGATGGGGGCGATGACCTTGAAGACTCCATTACTGATTTAATGCGTAACATGTGGTTACACGAGATTCCATTATCCTGGGCCGAATCACTGATCGTTCCAAGTTTTAAGAAGGGATCTCGCAATGACTGCGCAAACCACCGTGGAATAGGTTTGATCCCAATCGTCAACAAGTTACTAGCCTCGACGTCTGACACCGTTTAACGAACAACAAGCAGGATTTCGACCAGATCGCGGTTGTATCGATCAAATNGATCAAATCTTCACCATGCGTCATGTCCTCGAGTTACGCCATACGCACCGCCGACCAACGGTTGTCGTGTTCCTTGACCTAAAAGGAGCCTTCGACTCAGTTGATCGTGAATCCCTTATGGGTCACTTCTTCGCAAAGGAATACCACAGAAGTATGTGGATATAATAGGTTCCCTCTTCTCACATACTTCTGGTAGTGTAAAGGTCTACGGCGAGCTGAATAGATCGTTACTAGCAGCGGTGTTCGTCAAGGGTGCCTTCTTTCGCCTTTCCTGTTCAATTTCGTCATAGACGAAATACTGGAGAACGCACTTAGTGGTCTCCAAAATGTATGTATTGAATGGGCAACTGGAGAAAAGCTGTGCGATTTGGAGTACGCTGACGACATCGTTTGTTTGTTCAAATCTATGGAGGATGCACAAAGAGCACTTAACAGATTAACAAGTTCTGTTGTTTCGTTCGGCATGCGCTTTGCACCTTCAAAGTGCAAAGTGATGCTACAAGACTGAGTGTCATCGAGTTCTGTTTTGAATTTAGACGGTCAGGAATTAGCTGAAGTTGACTGCTTCTCGTACTTAGGTAGCTGCGTCACCAATGACGGTAGCACATCGACGGAGATAACAGCCCGCATTTCCAAGGCTCGAGCAGCGTACGCAGGACTTCGACACCTGTGGCGACGTGACGTTACACTGAATTTGAAAAGTCGCGTATACTGCGCCACTGTATGATCAGTTCTGCTTTACGGTTGTGAGACCTTGAATTTGCGGGTAGAAGATACCCATCGTTTAGCAGTGTTCGACAATCGACGCTTACGTAATCTGGTCCAAGTGGGATGGAGTGAGCGGGTTAGTAACTTAGAAGTAAGTCATCGGGTGTTTGGGAATGCATCGAACAAGAACTCACTATCTTATCGAATCCAGCTCAGTAGGCTCCGTTGGTTAGGACACGTTTTGCTTATGTCCGACGGTCGCCTACCTCAGCGCACCTTGTTTGCAGTGGCTGTTACAAGCTGGAGAAAGCCACATGGAGGCCAACAGATGACGTGGAGACGAGGCATGAAGAAATGCACAGAGCAATTAGGTAGAGTAGGTGTCTCTCGTCTTCCGGGTTGGGGTCCAAAAGACTCCGAAACCTCATGGTTGGAGACATTGAAGGTCATGGCTGCGAACCGACAGCAATGGCGATCATGCTGTCACTTCTTATCAGTCCAAAATGCTTGAACTATTATGTATGCACAGTTGGACTGTGTACTCTGTGTGTTGACCATGGAGGTTCGCTTTCTTTTCCCGTCCCTAAAAATAGGCCCGATCCCTGTTCTCCCTACACATTCTCACTTATCTTGTATGCAATATGAGTTTGGCAGCGATCAGTGAAGTTCGCCTCACGTTATTACGCTTTACAATGATGATGATGATGATGATGGTATGTGACAAATATGGTGCACTTTTAATCACAAACAACTTCTTGGATGTGTGCGTGTTATGGGCAACTGCTCTTGTTGTTTAAGATAAAATAATGTAAAACGTCTTTCACAGAGTACATTCACATTTTTGCCGACAGCCTGGTCCATATTGAAGCCATGTTGAAGCATTCATCGACGTGCACGATGTTTCATCTGTTTGACAATCTTCATTCTGATCTACATTGTTGTCCACGTTCATTTGTTTATTTCACATAGGCGACTATCAACTTCTTTATCTTGTCCATCGGTTTCCTTGTTTCAGGTCAATTCGTACTCTGCAGGATGCCAAACAAAGTCGTGCATCGTTATGGAAAAAGTTGATCGTTTGCCAACAGAATCTGGGTCACCAACTCCCGGTGGAGACATACTTACTAAAACCGGTGCAACGAGTGCTCAAGTATCAACTCCTACTACAGGTAATCAAATGTGTTCACACTGGATAGCCCAAAGACAAGTTAAGGTGCAATGTCGTAATTCCCAATAGTCTATCGATTCTCGATGTTCCTCTCTCTCTTTGTTAGGGTTAATGTTATAGTTTTATATACTGATGCTAGAAGAACCGAGGAAAAGTGTGGGTGGAGGGGAGGGGCTGGATAGTGATCGTTGAGCTGGTTTGTTATTGACCAGAAAATCCACTGGTTTATAGAAACGTCAGCTTGTACATAAATAATTTCGGTTACATTTAAAGTTAGAAAAAAATATTTTCCTAGCTATATTCATTCTTCGTACAACTTCGCTCTATTATGATTATTTGTATTTAAGGCTGTTTGTGGTTCATTTGGCATTCTGAAATATTTCATAAGTTTCTAGATTTTTCGATTTCGTCTCTGCTCAATAGTCACTCTACTGGGCACGTTTATGTCACTTCAGTTTAGACTAGGATATATTTCGTCGAAGCCAAGTAAATCTTGTTCACCGGGACGGATGATGTTCCTGTTTTAAAACAGTGCCTTAGTTTTCATCACATTATGTGCTGTTGGTTAGTGAACAGACGTAGCGTATGCGGCGTTTTTGCCGGATCTATTCATCCGATGTTTTTTTCTCTCTCTCTCTGTTTTGTTCTCATCAAATGCAGTTGCTACGCTTCCTTGTGTTCTCTCATTCTCAGCTTGTCCAAGCTAGACTATGTTTGTAGACAGCGAGACAGACGTGTGCACTGACCCAAGTTCTTCTTGACCTACAGACTGGCACATGTGGCGTGCTTCTCGCCATTTTTTAAGGTCATTCGGTCACAATCCAATCAAACACTCGCCATCATCGTGGTCTGAATTTTCAGTGTCCACAGGGTCGCAAATAATCAAAAAACGGTTGTGAACCGGTCCCATTAAAGAGTGTGGAAACCAGTTACAAACTGTTTCGTAGTAGGCGCATAATCGCCACAGTCATTGTTTACTGACTGCGTGCGATTAAAACTCCTTGGTTTGTCAGATTTTGGTATTCATCCAAGTGACGATGTACCGTAGTTGTGCAATGTGAATTGGTGTACATCCTGATAATGGTTGTAGCCGCACGGGAGCGCGAACATGCCCGTCATGAATAACTTGATCATTTTCTATTTGTCGATTCCTATTACATATCCCAGCTTAAGCTGGAATCATACAATCCAACATGCGCTCAACTGCATCAGTTTTCAATCATATTACTAATATTTAGCCAATGGAGTTTCAATAAACGAGCTGTGGTGTACAGCATCCGTGTTTCTAATCCTTATCACGATTCATGATGTGCCCCTGTCGCACTACCACCTGATCGTTAAATCTTGTGCTATATGAAATCCAATCAATAACCAAGGGCCGTATCGCCCCGGTGTTGCTTATAGAGCAATCCTGAGAGAAATAGAAGTAGGTGAAAATGAAATATAGCAATTTCGTTGATAATAGATGCACATTGATAATCGTTTGGGTTCTAAGATACTACGAAATAAAAATGGAGTATTTTGAATGTATGTGAACCGGTGATTAGTGCGTGTTAACATACTGCGAACCAACAGATGTGTCATCAGTAATCGCTGGAAATAAACCGATTAAAACACCGCAAATTACCGCTTTGTATAGATTCTTCATTTCCTCAAGTATTTGGGTCGGGTTATTGCATGGAAGTTAGTGTCCACATGTGATTCGATTCATAAAAGTTTGCCCCACGTCTTGTTTTCCTATTCCATGGTCTAAAGAATCGTTCACAGAAATTTCCAGCATGAATGACGATTATTAACCGTTCGATCCCCAAGGATAATTAGTTGTTTAAGTTTTTCAGTGAAGAAGAACTACTGGAAATATCGAACGAACAAACAAAAGAAAACGAGTGTATTAACAGGATTGAAGAAAAATGCACTCCCGGGAGGTGACACGAGTTTAGTGTCAGGCGAAATGTTTGGGTCAACGAAACTGTACCTTTCAATGACCATGGCTAGAAGCCTATTTGGTTCGTTCTGGATTAGTCTCGTTGTACCTCACGATGAATAAAATGGACGAGTGGGTAGAACCGGTAGAAAAATAAAACGACCCTGTCAACCGATCGGGACCATAACTTAACTTCTAGTGGGTTTTTTAATTTTCGAAGTGACACTAAGAGGCAGACAACAGCTCTACGAAAAAGGGAAATGTTTTTGACGGACAGTCTTACAGGTGTCCGCAGGCAAACAGTGCAGTCAGACGGGGTTCAATGAGGCCGTCAAAAATCACACTGTGGAACACACGACACTTGGTTGTTGGTGGTCATTCGGTTTTGGTCACTATCACTTCGCCTTGACTATTCTATTTTCGAACCCCTACCTCCTTTCGTTTGTGTTGTGTTGTGTGTTGTTGTTGAATTTGAATTTGAACTTTTTGATTGGCCTCTTCCTTGTTCCTGAAACAATAAAGCAAATAATGGAAGAGAATTATGTTTCATTGCTCACTGGTTGCAAGTTGTTGATAAGAAAAATGCTTCAACACCATCATTTCAGAGTCATTTTAGGAAAGATATGAGATAAGATGGGGTTAAGCGGGAGTTTAGTTCAAGTTGTTGTGGAACGCAAAATATCTTTGTTTTGATTGTTTAGATTCTTGAATCCCGCGTCGTATTTTATGGACGCGACTCATTTGGTGTGCTGGACGATTTGAAATTCATTCATTCTCTTTCTTAACATCCCGCTTTGCTCAAGGAATGTGTAAAGCACTGCATGAGCGCCATTCACTCGTTACCAAGCAGTGGTCAGACCTCGGCTTGTTTGGAACGTGCAGTTTCCACATCCAACGACCTCCATTCGCCGGACTCAGATTTCGATCTCCTGCAGCAGCTAAACGAGGCTGTCCCCGTACTGGGTCAGGCTTTGGAACGTATGATCAAAGTGAGTTATTCTTAATATATTATCCATAGTTTGTACTCCACTTGCTCTGTGGGATTTATTCTATCGACATCGATCTCTTTTAACTAGGACAGATCTAGGACGAACAGCGATTCTGTCTGACTCTAATACCGAATATGCTGTTTTTCAGAGTTAGGTTGGCTTGACAAGCTTTGAGGCGGAACAATCGGTTTACTAACATTTAACGATCCCCTTTAATCCGCCTTAATCAAATCCATGCTCTTATTCATAGGTGACTCGGTGGCTTTCCCAATAGAACTCGTCACGAGTAAATGCAAAGCGAACTGATTCTGTGCATTTGCATCAGAATGGTGAACTGATCATTTGTCAGCAAACTGTTTCCATTAAGTGTTGAGGAGTAAAGCCTTTCCTTCCTGGAGAGATAGATAAAACCCATCTGATTTATCAATATCAATATCAATATCTTTAATTAGAAAGGCATATGACGCTAGATTTTATCCCACACATTTGTACCTAGTAGTTATCGTGTTCCTTTTATTTCCTCCCTTTTCTATCGAATTTTCACTTGTATTAACAACTTTTAGGAAGGACGAAGGGACCAACCACGAGCTGTCTTGTGATAGAATATCAGGGAGGCAGGTGATTGCTTATCTTAATTTCGAGCATAGTTTATTTATTTTTAGCCTGTGCTCTTCCCATTCGTGCTGAACAGTAATTTCGATGCACACGTCACGTTGTGTCGCGATAAAAGGTTTCATCCGACGTCTTGTTTATCTTTGAGGCACCTACAAGTAAGTCCATTATAGAAACCTACTGGTGTTAGCCTACGAGGGCTGAGGATAGAGCGTCAGGATACGTAAGAGGTTCAGATGACCGAGCTAGGAAAACATGAACCGTAATCTATTGTGAATATATCCCAATGATTGCAACTCATAGAACCAAATATCAACAGCCGAGCGCAGCTCATAGGTCATTAGGGTTGCTATACTGAAACTGTAAGGATGGAACTCAGTCGATGAGCTGGAGGGCAATGTTCTTCTACGATTAAAAAGATCGGTGCGGGATCATCTTTGCTGGGTGTACAGTTCCGATCCAGATACCATGCAGCAATCCGCTCAGTAGACGCGAGCTCAGTTTTGAAAAGCAGTTATTGGTTGTGTGTGACCAAAAGCAGTCATGTGGCTAATATGCAACTCGTACAGCAAAGCACAGCCACCGGAGCCCAGTACGCCTCCCATTGTCGGCCGTAATTGTTGGAAGCTGTTGCTAGACTTCGTTCAAGATCTCAAGCATGACGGAACTTGCTGCACCATGGCAACGCACCTGCACGCCGGTCCCGGTTCGTTGTGGGTTTTCTGGTTAAAGAAAGCATTCATGAGGTTGGCCACCCACCATATAGTCCAAACCTGGCTCTGTGTGGCCTTTTGGTGTTCCCAAGTGTCCAGCGCATGATGCGTGGAATCCAATACGACTCACCAACAGCTGCAGTCGAGGTCTTCATTAAAATGTTCTGAGGGTTAGCCTGTTCGGTATTATCCATCCGTTTCATCAAATGGTATGAGTCCGTGGAACTGTGCATGAACGCTGGTGGAGAATACTTTGTGAAAATGTAGTGGTTATTTTTGTGCAACAACTAAAAGAGTTTTTGCCTCGGAAAACGTTTTGCGCACCCCTCGTATTGGGCCTGTGACTTCTGATCAGTTTATATGAATCCAATTGTATACTACCGCTCTTTCAGACAGAAGAAGGTGGCGGGTCATCGATCTATCAACCCAATTGTATTTTAGCGTTCCTCATTTCAAGAGCGAGAGTACGTTTACGCGCACGTGCATTTATTTTGGCTGTGTGTATCACTCGGGACGGGCAGTGGTTGTTTTTCGTTGAGAACACTTGGTGTAACAGAATAACTCTGTAGAACCAAGCACGCATCTGTTCGCCCAGTTTGTGCCCTTTCCCGCTGCCCAAGATAACACTCAAATGCCCTACCGACCTCGACAACATAGTGTTGTATTCAGTAGAACTCGTAATATACACGTAAGTAAATCCTTTTTAATTAGCAG